ACAAGGTGAGGTCAAAGATAGTCTTCTATGGTGTACTAGAATATAACATGTCTCTTTTGTAGAAGCATGCTAATTTATGCCATTTTTAAAACTTACATATATGTTGAGTTAATTAGAAAGTTTCAAAGATGTGTAGATGACTTTTCTAATTGCATCAGTGTAGGCTTTTGGACTATGACGTAGTGGTGATATTTATCAGATGAGGGTCTGCTTTTCAGTTAACTCAGTGAGTAGAATATGTAAGATTTCAGTAAAGTATTTGTAGACGTTTCTGTTAGTGTCACTGTTAGGATTGGTTTAGAGATGTATTTTGTGCAGTTATGCTAGTGGTGGGGGATTAGGATGATGGATAAGGTTCAATGGTGTGGGAAAATTTTAAACTGTGACTCTAAAAATTAGTTTCTTTTAATAACATGCAGTTAAGATTCTGGAGTGTTTTTATTGTCTTTTAAAGATTGTATTTAGGAATAAAAAGCATTTAAAAAGTCTTAAGATGGTATCAGAGATTCTATAAATTAATTGGAAACATCAAAGCATGGTTAGAAATGTGTGACTTGTTTAGATTCGCTTTTACAATTTCATAGATTTGAGGTTAATCCTATATTACAAGTATCATGTGACTTCATGGAAATAATAGTCTTCAAAGCATTTTACAGTTTTTGATTTTTAGTTTTACAATTACTAGACAGTTCAAAGGCACACATGGTCTGAAACCATCTCACCATGCAAGACGTTGCACTAAAATGCTGAAGATGAGCATGAAGCCCAATTTATTTGACCTAAAAACTTGTTCCTAGTTATCTTCTCATTGAGAGGGTTCTGGCAGAATATTTATAAGTTGATATAAAGGGAAAACCATCAGGAAGACATTTGGACCAAGACCTGGAGTGCCCTCCAACTCCACAGAAACCTCTCTGTAACCTCTAAGCTGTCAGTCAAGGGAACCCTTGGACTGTCTTCACTCTTCCATGTGAGTGGGAAATTCCTACAGTCAGATTGGGACCTAAGCAATGGACCGTTTCTTGATAGATCTGAAGTTTCTCTATGGCGGCCTTTCGATGCTGGCAGAGTACATGCTGTAGGAGAAGAACTGAGTTATTTCAGATTATGTTTTGGTAGGGAACATAGTATCAGATTCTCTGCATGTTAAGTAAATGAATTTTCCCTGGAATTGCAAGACTGACAGTGTAATGCTTGAGACAGATAAGATGGGCCGTTAGTGAACCCATAGGGCTTATGCTGCTATGTGTGTATGCAGCAGTGTGTACTGCTGATCATTAAAGGCAAAAATACTGGCTTTCATCTACCGGAATACCACAGAAGGAAAAACAGAGGTCCACTGTGTGAACTGGTTAGAAACTGCAGACACATCAGATAACAGTGTTAGGGTCCAGAACCACCAAGAATCCTAGAATTATAATTTCATTTATTGCAGATAAGTAGACAGAAACCTGGTTCCTCTTAGGTTTTTACTTAGTAGGACTGGAGTACCTCAGGCAATAGTTGGTAGGAGCTATAGCATGACCTAGTCTTGACACCCACCCCTCCCCCATGCAATCAGTGATAGTCTGTGGACTGTCTACAGCTTTAGGGAGTGGGGCAATTGAAGCAATGGCCAGTCTACTTGAATATTTTATACCTCAACTTTTTCCTATGCTGGTTGGAGAGGAAACCCATAAGTGGCTGGGGTTTTAGAGAGGCCTGGGTTTCTATTTTATCAGCGTCTGTTTGTGAGGAACAGAGTAGCCCTTAGACCCCAGAGAGTCAGGGAACTCTGGAAAATTTTCTTTCCCCTCAGGTTAGAAATCTCTTTCCATCCCTCTGTCACACAGTCAGAAGGTGTACTTTACTGAGAGGGGTGCAGAAGACCTGGGAACTGGCCACACAGAGATTCTCTGGATTTGATTTGAACCCCATCCTCTCCCACTTTTTTTATACGGAGGGATTTGTTGATTTACTATAGCCGAGTGTAAAGCAGGGCGGGTGGCTTCGTTTTCTTCCAGTAGTGTGTGCATGATTTCCTCCACTGATTTTGGTCTTGTCCATGCTTATGAAGGTGTGTGTTACTGGCAGTAATATAGTGACCCCATCAGCGTTGACCTTTCTTTCAATAACCGAGGGTTCACCTGATGGAGATATGTCCATACAAAAGGCACAGTTTCTTTGGGAGACTGGTAGCATAATGGGCAGTCTCTTTTCTTTTAGTGTGACTGTATAGTGGTGACAGAAATCTATAGGTTCAGGGTTTCTTGGTTTCTCTTGAGGTAAGACTTGAGGCAAAAACCTCTTGGTCTTTGTCTCTATAGCTTTTTTCAGTCACAAGGACATGAGGCTCTGCATTCTTTTTCTTATTTATTTTTGTTATATTTTGTTTAGCGTGTGTGTGTGTGTGTGTGTGTGTGTGTGTGTGTGTGTGTGTGTGTGTACATCTGGTGACCAGAGAAAGCTTGTAGGAGTCATTCTCTTCTTCCAGCTTTTGGATCATGGGGACTGGACTCAGGTTCTCAGGGCTGGTGACAGGTACCTTCACTCATGGATAGCGCTGGTCCTCATCTTGTCCTTTTAAACTGTTTGGCTGCGGTTCAGTCTTAGGTTTCTCTGCAGGTCACCAAGTCCTCTGACAAACATCCATAAAAGTCATTTCAGTAAGAAATACTACTGCCTTGAGTCTGGTTAACTTTGGTGTGTGAAGTTTCTATTTATTGGTAAGATTTTCTTCTTTTGTAATAGCAAGGTTTATAGGATTAAAAAGAGAAACACTCAAGCTGTGTTTTTAATGAAAATGTTCAACGAGCAAGAGTTTTAATCTAGCACTGCGATCGGAGTGAGTCATCTATTTGTTTTCCTGCTTACATGATTGAATAATAGACCATTCAGTCTTCTGCGGACAACAAGGGGAATAGCCCGCGTAGGCCTTTCAGCTGTGTTTCAGGCCTAGAAGCACCGTTGGAAGAGCAGTCGGTATTTTACTCAGGCATATTCTACCTGCTGGGGCTATAATGGGCCTGGTGCCTTCCTTAGTTTGCTGCTTCAGTGTCCCTTGAGGTCCCTGAGGTCCTCCTTTGAGGTCTGCTTCTGCCACTAAACTCTTAGAGGAAAACCTTGTGCCCAGTATCATTATTTTTAAGTTTGAGAAAGGAACAATTTGTGAATCGGGGACACCAGACTTAAAAGAGGTTTAGTCAGAGGCAGGTATTTATAGAAAAAAATGTGGGAGTAAAATAGAGAAGTTGATTGCGCGTACAGATTTGCCTTTTATGGGTCACCTTGTCAGAACACCCCTAGTCACATCATCGTCGTATGCTAGTTGGACGCTTATGATTGGCTGAGCTTAATTTGTGTTTCTAACAAAATCAGAAATGACTAGAAATGACTCGAGTCAATTTTTGCTGATTTTTTTTTCTTTTTCAGTTTAAGCTGAGTTGAGGCTATTTTTTAATCTCCTTGGACAATTTTCAAGTTTCAGTTTACCATGGTCTATGGAGATGGGTATAGGAGCTAGGAGCTAGGAAATGGCCTCATGGAGAGAGATGGACGTTGTTCTGACCACAGAAAGTACAGTGGGAATTTGTAACACAGAACAAGGATTAAGTCAGTGGGTAGAACATTGCTAAGAAGAAACATGGCTTGACAGAAGCACTGTCAAAGGCAGGCCACAGGGAAGGTGGTCAGGATACCAAGGATGGGAGATTTTCTCCCAAAGTGAGTTCACAAGATTCTTACTCAGAATGGGTTCTACAAGAACAAAGGAGAGCCAGTGGGGCCCAATTAAGCAGTGGACTTGGAACCTGATTCAAGGAGAAAGTTCTAGGTCCCAGGACAGTGTCTTATGATTTGCTCAGTACATTCCACAAATAATGGGGCCATTGTTGAGGATAACACAGCAGCTCCAGAATCAGAGCAGCCTGCTATGCTCAGGGCCCGAGCTCTCCTCACCCCTCCCTTTTCTGTTTTGTTTTACTGGCTGCTGTCTCTACTGCCTGCTCAACGTTTCCTTTTCTCTTAATAATTCTGCTGTCCCAAGGCTTTTACGAATTCTCTCAGGCCTCTCTCTGGGCTTGCTATTTTCCTTCAGATTGCTCTCCAGTGCGCTGGGCTAGCACTTTACAGCTGGGCTAGCGTCTGTGGCTCTCACAGGAAATGGAGGAGGGAGGTACATCCTGCCTCTTCCTGTTCCAGAGGAACCGGCCCTGAGAGGGAAGACAGATGAGCAGCCTGGCCTGCTGACTTTCTCCTGGTGCATACTGTCATAGTTTGGGTTTACTTCAGTTTTGTCTCCGTGGTTATGCCCCACCCCTCACAAGTCAGGAAAAAAAATGCCAGCAGTCATTCTTACTGGAATTCCTCCTATCCCAGAGAATCTTAAAAGCAGTGAGGAATAGGTCCAGCTATTCACTGTGGGACAGATAAATATTACTTCTAACAGAAATGGAATGTTGTCTGCTGATTTGGCCTTTCTCTGGAAGAATAAAGCTTTTTTTCTTAGGAATGGTCATGATTAGTGAGTCAGACGCTTGGTACAAGGGCCCATTTCTAAAAGGATGTGCAGCCGTAGGGACTTTTCCCACTCAGTCTGCAAAGTAAGAGTGTTGCGCTCAGGGCCTGTCAGAGGGACACACATTTCGTGATTGTGTAAATGTGTATAGTGTTTCAGGCCATCCCGGTCAGCTCTCTAGCAAGTGTGAGAACAAGCAGAGGTTATGCCTTTGGTTGTGGAAGTTTGATGTCACTTTAGTTTTGGTAGTTTCTCGCTTATATTTCGTTCTTTTTGTTTGGTTTTGTTTTACGAGACAGGGTTTCTCTGTGTAACAGCCCTAGCTGTCCTGGAACTCATTCTGTAGACCAGGTTGGCCTTGAACTCACAGAGATCTGCTTGCCTCTGCCTCCTGAGTGCTGGAATGAAAGGCGTGCGCCACCACCGTCCAGCTATTTTTCTTATTGATTTAAAATTTGCCTTATAAATTTTTTGCTTACTTATATCTCTTTTTTTTTATAATTAGATTACAGCAGGAATTAAGGTCTTGCAAAATACGATACTACAACAGGATAAACGACTGGCCAAAGCCATGGTTGGTGATGGTTCCTTTCATATCACCTTGCTGGTGATGCAGCTATTGAATGAAGATGAAGTAAACACGTGAGTAATGTGTCTTTCTTGAATATTATGTTCCAAATTATTACTCTACTGTGAGTAAATACAGACGAGCCCAAGGGGGCTTTGAGATTCTGAAGAAATATTCTTTATCATGATTATCCTGATTGACAGTCATTGTACAGAGTTGGTTTTTTTTTTTTTAATGTAACATAGGCTAGCCTCAAACTTGATGTATCAAGTGTGGTCTTGGACTTGTGATTCTCTGGCCTTAGCTGCCTCAGTGCTGAGGTTTCAGACACATTCCACTATAGTCTGTTTACATTTTTATTTTTTCGAGACAAATGTAGCCTTGACTGCCCTGGAGATTACCCTATAGACCAGGCTGGCCTCAAACTCTTAAGAGATCCACCTGCCTCTGGCCCCCACCCCAGTGCTAGGGCTAAGATGTGCACTACACTGCCCTGCTTGTGTAAATATTCTTTCTTTCTTTAATTTGTAACTTATTTTTTTATTGTTTTTGTATAAATATTCTTAATTCAGATATTTTTCACTTCATTGTTATCAGTGGTATTCCTTGGTTATACAGATGTGTTGCCTCTGTTAATTATGCAAACTACTCTGGAGTCTGATTCTAGAGTCTAGATTGAGACTCTAGGTGACGATTCTGGAACTATGGCATAACCACCTTTTATTAGCAGTCTGACTTAAACTTGCTGTCCCAGTAAATAGTGCTAACACCAAGCAGAGCCCTTAGCGTGTTGCCCAGCATGTAGTAGGCACTTACTCTCAGCTGTCTGTCATTAGAGCTGTCGTTTTCCTGGGGCGAGGTGGACAGTTTCCACTTCAGCTTGCCTTGGTCATTCTTAGTGCCATGGTCTTTCATTCCACACCTCCTGTCCCCCCTCTCCCCACTCCTTAAAGGTTGACAAGAAGTTAGTGATTACAAGGGTACAGAATTCCTTGCTGTCTCCTATGGAGTTCGGGGGGCCTTACATTCAAGCTTGGGCTCTTTGGAAAACAAAAGCAGGGAGGAACTGCAGATTGTTTGTGTTTCTGCCTTGGCCCAGTTGGCTCCTGGGGGAATGAAAAGCAAGGCTTGATTTGGAAAGAGAGTGAGAAAAAGATAGACTAAGAGAGGGAAAACAAACAGCAGCCATTTGCAACCAGCCACAGACGATGACTCTCTTGTTAAGTTCTTGACCGTCCCACGGAAAACCAGCAGTTTTCAAGGACAGAGAGAAAGAGATTTTATTTGTTTTCTTTCAGTTTATCACTCTACCACTTATATAAAACAAATGCTTTCGTGGTTTTCAGAGAAGACAAACCAGGGATGGGGGATAGGTGAGGAAGAGGAGTCTCAGCTTGACCCTTTAAAAGCAGAACGGGTGGGGTGTGTCTTCTCTGTGCATGTAGTTGTAGCTGTATATGGAGAGGTTTATTTACAGAATTGGCTATGGCCCTGAATGAAGTTAGGGGCATTGGACTTGGGCTGTGGGCACAGAGGTACAGGGAGAAATGCTGGTGTCCACAGAGCGCTTCTGCAGTCCTGCCTTGTCGTCAGAACGTGACTGTGAATTATGTGCATGGAATCAGTTCAGTGCTGTGCGGAGATTAATTTAGAAATATGAAAGCACTACAAAAATCTATTTTTTCACCTATTTGTTCGGGGAACAGGATAATTCAATGATAGTTTTGTTAGAAGGAAGTTTGAAAATCCTCTCCGTACCGCCCATGCTCATTTCTTTCTTAAGTAACTTCTGCCCTCTAGTGAGTTTAAGTTTTTTTCATAAGAAGGTGTACCCACCAGAATGCTTTTCAAGATGTAATTGATCATAAATTTAAAACCAGGCAAAACTTGACAATGTCTAAGTCAAAATATAAAGAGAAATAAAGATTTGAAACACAAAGTGGTCCTAAGTGAACACAGGCTAAACAGCTATAGCAAGCATTTCGTCTTAGTTGGGAAGTACAATTAAACTTATACTTAATTTGAGTCCAAGTACAATAAATCATGTTAATAAAGACATTGTATTTTAAGAGATAATGCCTAATTAAGTTTTTGTAGAATCTATTGGAAACATTAAGTCCTATTTGAGTAAGGGTTAGTACTTATATTTTTAAAAATCCGAGACTTGGGCTGCGGACATGGTTTAGCTGGTAGAATGCTTACCTACTCTGTCATCCTAACACCTGGGAGGTGGTGGCAGGGTGGCCAAAAGTTCAGAGTCATCCTTCTTCACATGAGAGCCGGCCTCAAAATGCTACCCCTAGAAACAAACCAAAACAATGCTCTTGTGTGTGGTAAAATGCTCGCAAAACCTAACAGTGCTCTTGTGTGTGGTAAATTGTTCTGGAATGTATCATTATTTAAGACAATTAGTAAAAAATTGAGTTTTTTTTTTTTTTTGAGTTGTAGCCCTCTTTTTTCCTGAGGTCCTGGAGGTAGAATCTACTCATACATAGCAGGCAAGTGAGTAGCCCCAGCACTTTGAATTACACAGGTAAATTTTTTTCGGTCAGCAATTTCTTTTTGTTTGTTTTTTTTTAATTTTTATTTTTTGAGGCAAGGTCTTACAGTACTCCAGGTCTTATGTAGTCCAGGTTGTCTTCAAGTTTGCAGTCCTCCAGTGAGTCTCCAGAGTGCTTTGTTTACAGAAGTTTCCTGATGATTAATGATCATGACCACAGCAACACTTTCTTTCTTTCTTTCTTTCTTTCTTTCTTTCTTTCTTTCTTTCTT